ACTAGCCCCAGAGTTGGTGGTATGTGTGTGACCCAAAGGGAGGGCATGGGCTGCAGGAGCCCAACCCAGTGCACTTGTGTCTTCATCCGTGAGAGAAGTGTATCCGCTTTAGCCTGCAGCCCAAGTTGCATGGCCCACTGTGCAGGGGCCATGAGCTGGGGCTGTATACATTGTGCGTTGCAGGGACCCAGATGTGGGAGCAGCTGCCAGCAGTGAGGTGACGCCTGGGCCGATGTGGGAGGACCTCAGCCACAAAGGACCTACCACAATGCAGTGGGAAAAGCTGGAGATTGTGTGTAAATTCAGTGTGCATAAAGGTCAGTAGTAGTGTTTGTAAATAAGTATCCAGTAGCTCACGTTCTAAATATTAAGCAATTAATGTATTAGTGCTTCAACATTTAATTGCTGTTGATGCTTCTCCTTTAACCTATACCACACCTGAGAGGTTATCAGTTTGTGAACTCTGTAGGAACCCAAGTAACTATCTCCATACCACCAGTGCTCCTTTTGTGTACTGTATATAGAGTTATTTTGGTAGCAATTTGTAATTTTTATCCACTTTAGTTATATCTTGTTCTGTATATAATTAAATTGTACATAATTAAATATTTGTAAATAATTATATTGGTGGTTGCAAAGTATTTGTAAGTGTAAAAGGGGCCCTCCCTGACAGAAAGCCCCATTTCAGCTCCTGGGAGAGCCAAGTGTGGCTTACGCTACTGAGCACACCAGGATTCCAGCACTTGGATGTGGCACGCGGGTAGCACCGTGTGCCAGGGTTATGTGAAGGTGTCCAGCTCCTAGGAACATGCCAATACAATGTAAGAAGCACTTTCAGTACACACTAAAGACAGTCATCCCAGTCCACCAAAACACTTAGGCACGTATTTATTTATTTTTGTAATGGTGTCATCCTATAGAAGTTGAAGATGCTCATATGCATAATATTAAGCTGTTACTCAAATACTTTGGTGGATCAAGACCAAAAAGCAAAAGCACACCCAAATTCCTTCAAGCATAGCATCTAGCATACTTGGCACATGTTCATTTCCAGGAAATGTGTACAAACCAACATCTCGCTACTTGCCTCAGGTAACCCAGAGCAGATGTCCGAAGAGCAAGCTGAGAAACCTTGGGACTTCATCACCTGGGCTTGTGAATGCCTTAGGTCTTCCCCTGTGTGGCACTCTTAACATTGATATCCTAATTCAAGTCCCCCAAAAATTCACATATCCATGCTCCACTTTTTAAGTTCTAAAGAAGGATTAAACAGATTGCCAAGACTTAATCACATCACCCTGACTCACTTAAAACAAAGAATTGGGCAAATACATGCCAAATTAAACATCAGAGAAGTATGAACCCTACAGCTTCTTACTGGACAAGAGGATGGAAAGCATTACAACTTCTCACATATTTCTTTTTCCTTATGCATGTTTTAAGAGAATGCTTTGTAATCTGTTTGTTTTTTTTTTGGTCTGATGCTGTCCTGGTTCAAAACTATAATGATGTACATACATGCCAGCCTGCCACTTTGGTTTTATTTCTGATAAGTCCTTACAAAGTTTAATCTTATTAGTCAGCTACCTTAAATATGCTCAGAAAGACTTGCTGTCAGTTATGTCTGCTTAGGCACCTAGACTGTACCAGATTCCTGCTTGCTGGCTAGCTGCACATGAGCAGGAATAATAAATATTATGGTGGTCAAAACAGAAGCAATTCAGGGCACACAGGGCTTTGTTACCTTCAGTTTATCATGATTCATCATTGGACAATAGGGCTAAATACAGACAGTCAAAAAGCCCAAGGCTGAATTAATTCATTCTTTTCAGGTTAGTCTAAGCTGCAAAGATTGAACCAATAAGCAAATGAGCATACATTCCCTTTTTGATTCAGGAAATGTAGCCACATGCCTGCAGTGGCTCAAGCCAGAAACCAGGGGGTACTAGAGTATGGCTCTCTGGCACATAGCCAGCATGGGCTATGTGTTCATTTCCTCTTCCTGCTGCCCCATAGGTCTCTGAGATTTTCTGTTCACAATCATAGTAGCAGGACTCTGCAGGCTTGCTCATCACTTCCTCCTCCTGCTTTCAGGTGCCTCTGGGGTTTGTTGTCCATAGTCACAGCCAGCACTAAGTAAGTAGGGAAGGGCAGCTCCGTACTCAGGGGAAGGGAAGTTTAGCCTCCCTCCCTGGCCCCAGACCCCAGCAGGGATTTGCCTGGGGGTACCAGTGAGCCAGCCAGTGAGGCCAATGAGCCAGCCCTCAGGGCTTCAGCTAGGGAGCACAGGGGAGGGGCCAGCCCTGCTCTCTGAAGTGGACAGCACCGCCCAGCCCAGGGCTGCAAAATGCTAGGATGCTGGGGGACCTTGATTTAAAATGAACCAGGAAGGGGTCTGAGACAGAAGATTCATAAACCGGTTTCACCTAAATCATTTAAGTCTGATACTACATTCAGCCAGGTTTATCTTAAACCAGTTTCAGCTATTTTGAAACTGGTTTATGTGCACTGAACTTCTATTCTGTTGCAGGTTTAAACCAGTTTCTGATCCCTTAAACCAGTTTATGTATAATTTCTGTACCTAGCCTAGAGGTCAGTGAGGCAGCATCATATTTCTTCTGAACATTAAAAAATCCCCCGCTGAGATTGGCTGCATGTACCTGCCCTGAGATTGGCCACTGCTGAAGCCACCTCTGGCTTCAGTGGGCGGGGACTGCCCCCCCCCCCCCCCCCCCCCCC